GTGTGTGTGTGTATAAATATGGGAATTATTTTTAACAGTTCTTTGGATGGACAGGTGAGACTGAAGAGGCCTGGAAACCCCAGGTAACCCTATTATTTGGCACATCTATTCAGCTTTCCCAGTGTACTATACAAATAATTTCTATGTGTACTATGTCATGATATAAAAAGGGTTGGAGACCACCAATATATAATTTTTCTGGGGGAAAAATTTGAGTTAATGACATTATTTTTCACTGCTGAGAAGACATTTAACAGAATAAAAGTTAGATTATGGATAAGCAATGGCCTGGTATTGCTTTTTTATAAATTACAGTCTTTAGAGTAAAACCAAAAATAGTTATCTTTAATTTTGTAGCAAAGTACTGTTATGTCCTGTCGTGATTTTATATTCTTAATTTCTAGCAAATGTCCTGGAAACACTTCGAGGTGATGGAAATGTATTAATAGCAGTGGATACTGCAGGCAGAGTTTTGGAACTTGCTCAACTTCTTGATCAAATTTGGAGAACTAAAGATGCCGGACTGGGTGTTTACTCCTTGGCTCTCCTCAATAACGTCAGCTATAACGTGGTGGAGTTTTCAAAGTCCCAGGTGTGTGTTCATGTTATTGCAGTGTGCAATGATTGCACTTCTAGGAGACCATATCTTCATTGCTCTTTGGACTTTTTTATGTCTATTGAAGAGGATGGTGGTGATGGTAATATACCTAAAAACTAACCGCGGAAGTTTTGTGTGTTTTCACATATTACTACCAGTAGTCTTTGTCTGTCCTGTGAAGTCCTGTATTTTTGTCTCCATGTTACAGATTGAGCAAGTTGCTTCTTCTTTAACTCTTACTGTCCCTGTTTTTAAAAAGTAGAACCACTCCTATACATCTCAGACTGTAAATACTGGGGTTCATTTTTCTTTTCCTTTTGAATAAACTTTCCCTTGAGATAGTAAATTCCAGGGTAAGATACACATTTAGAATTTGAGCGCTGCCTTGTTAATAAGATTTAATGGGACTTACAATTGAATCACAATACCAAGGTGTATTTTTAAGAATGAATGCTGGGGTGGACAGTAGAAGCATAAACTAAGCACCTTGTTAAAACAATACAAACAACCATTTGTAGGAGACTTCAAGCAAAGTAGAATTTGACCTTCTTGACTGTGGTAGAATGCATTGAAGTTATAATTTAACAATTTCTAATTATTTTCGTCTTTTCCCTCACTAGGTAGAATGGATGAGTGATAAATTGATGAGGTGTTTTGAAGATAAAAGAAATAATCCATTCCAGTTTCGCCATCTTTCTTTATGTCACGGGCTTTCTGATTTGGCTCGAGTCCCCAGCCCTAAAGTGGTACTTGCCAGCCAGCCTGACCTGGAGTGCGGATTTTCAAGGGACCTCTTTATTCAGTGGTGTCAGGACCCTAAAAACTCAATCATTCTGACTTACAGAACTACGCCAGGGACACTAGCACGTTTCCTAATTGATAATCCCTCTGAAAAAATTACAGAAATAGAGGTAAGCATTTGTGTGTGAGCTTTATTGCCACTCTTTGAGGGAGATATTATGCACGATGTTTCTAAAAGTCTGAACGAAAATGAGACTTGGTTCAGGGTGTTTGTCAGTCTTTAGTAGCCCAAATTCCAGAGCGACTTAGGCTGGACTTTCTCACTCTGCATCTGGCACCCAGCCCGGAGCACACCTCCTTGCTGCATTCTCTGTCTCCAGAAATGTCCACGCTACCCCAGTTGGAAGCTGTCTGGTGCCTGTGCTCTTCCATTCCTCCCTCTTTTTTTCTCTTTCATACTTCATGCGTTTTGGGGGTGTTGAGAGGGAGTGGAGGAGTAGGTGCCCCTTTTCTTTTGAAGCAAAACAGAAGTCTGCTGCACTACGTGGGGTTCAGCTCCCTGGCTAGGCTGGGACTCAGGCTGTCATGGTGGGCCACTGAGGTGACTGCCTGAGACTTAACCAGTAGGCCACCCCAGGGAGCCCCTGTGTTGCTTTCTAGTGTTTGTAACCATCGGATATTTTCCTTGCTGCTGTCTTCCTCTTTCTACTGCCAATTGGAATACAAGTTCCTTTAAGAAAAGATTTTTAAAAATATCCTAGCACTCAGAACAGGGCCTGATATGTTGAAAGTCCTTCCTAAATGTGTTGGTTGAATTAATAAATGGCCAAGTGAGTGACTGTAATAAAGCAGATTTCTGAGGCGTGTGAGCCAAGGGCTTACTATACATGGCATTTTGTTCATGTGCATTTATGGTTCTTCTGAGTCGAGTCTTGCTCATTGAAAAAGAACAGTGGTAATAAGTAAATAGAGACTAGCAAATTGAGTAGATTTGATTAGGAAATGGGAGAACTTAGAGTTAATATAGTGGAGGAGTAGGAAGAAAAATACCTTAGGATTGATTATTCAAAAAATATGTTTTGGAATGTGTCCATTAATTTAAGGTACCAGAAATGAAAAATAAGATGAAGAACAAAATTTATCATAGCAGTAGGCATAAATTAATTGAGTGAATGTTCTGTTAAAATTTGTGCACAGACAGGCATCTGTGTATGCTGCTAACAGTGTACAGTATTGTCATGATGCTGTTTTCTAAATGAAACTTACTTTCAAGTAAGCTAGGCAGATGTGGGGTGCCAGACAGTCATTCCCTCATTGTATACATTGTGTCCTCCATTTCCTTTTTTTTGGACATCTTTTGCAAGTTAACAGAAAAGTGCTAAAAATCATATATTGTCAACATTTTACTAGATTTGCCTTAACACTTTTTTCTATACACAGACACAATATTACTTTCTCTGAACCATTTTAAGTAAGTTGCAGATACCTTATCACTACTTGTGAATGCTGCATGTTGATTCCCTAAAGACAGGCTGCTGCCGCCTGGCTCTGCACACCCACTCAAGTCCGGAAGTAGGCGCTGCTACCAGCCTCCGTGCCAGCCCCTGGCCAGTAGCTGTGTCGAGTGCCCAGCGCTGTTCCTTGGGGCCGCCCTCTCCTTTCCTGTTCAGGGCTGTGTATGCATTTAATTGCCATGACTTTAGGCATTTGGAAGCATACATGTTCTGGTTTTTTTTTTCATGTTTTGTGTTTTTTTTTTTTTAAAAAAAAAGAGACCAAAGTGCCCATTCTGAAACTTGCTTTTTTTTTTCATTTTAATCTTCCTTCAATAGTATAAGTGGATACAGGTTTATCGTAGATACATTTGGTGTATTATAAACATGCAAATGTTTTTGAATAAGTGAATGAACTCTAGAAGAGTTGTACATGGGTACTGTGACTTTTTTTTAGTCCAGTGGTTTTTTGAAAGTGGTCTAGGGAACCCTGGGGTACCCTCAAGATCCTTTTAAGAAGGTCAAAAGATTCGTAATTTGGTAAAGAAGTTACTGGTCTTTCCACCACACCCACATTTATTCCTCTGGGCACCAGCTGGTAGGTGAAGCGCTGCCTGCAGCTGAAATCCAGGCAGTGACACCACAGCACACAGCTGCACTCTGCACTGTGCCTTCCCCACCACGGCTCGCAGTGCAAAGGAAAAGTCACTTTCACTTGGCATTTCCTTAAGGAAGTTACTTGTTTATTTTTTATAACAGTGTTAAAGATTCGATTTCTTTATGCCTATAAGACCTGTGTGGTGTGGGTTAGAGGTGGAATGTTGGTGAGAGACATTGGGGAGCAGAGCAGGTGAATCTATTGAAATACTGCTGAGGGGAGCAGTGGGCAAAATAGGAGAGGTCTGCTGCGCCGTGTGGGTCACTCCCTGGTGGGGATTGAACTCGTGCTGCAGTGGGAGCTGATAGCTTTATAGTGCTGAGACTTAACCCCAGCACCACCAGGTGGCCTTCAATAAATTTTAATACGATCAAGTACTGTAAGTTGTTGGTATGGTTTCAGAGTCTACTTTACAATTAACCTTTAAGAAACGGCCACTTGAGTTTTAATATCAAAGAAGAATAGTCATGAAAAGGCTTTAAATACATTTCCTTTTCACAACTACGCATCTGTGTAAGACTGCATTTTCTTCACATACTTAATTGACATAAGCAACATACTTCAAGAGATTGTCGAAGCAGCTGTGAGAATCCAGTAGTCTTCTGTTGTGCTAGACATTAAAAGAGACTTGCAAGAATGTAAAATAATGCCATACTTCTTACTAATTTTTTTTTGCTATGGAAATATTACATTTTTATAGAACATGAAATGCTAACATGTAATGGTTATATTATTTTTAATGAACAGATATTTAAAAATTTTTTAGTTTTAATTTCTGACATGGTAGATATTGATAAATAAAATCTATAAAAACACAAAGTCTCTTTGGGGTTCTCAGTAATTAAGAGCCCCAGATTTGCGAACTACTCATTAGACGTACCGATGGATTTAAACATGGTGCCAGGTTGACAGTTACAGACATTGCTGCAGTGCACTCCCCATCCACCGTCTGTGTGATTGTTTGGTAAGATAAATTCCTGGAAGTAGAAATGCTGTGTCAAATGACAACCCTGTTTCTATTTTTAAATGCTGGCGAGTTACCTTCCAACAGAGTGTTCTTAATTTTTCCCATAAATAGTGGATGAAGGTATCTTGTTCCGTGTAGCAGCTAGCACTGCCAACCTCATAGGTTGAATGTGGTATTCTTTTATAAAAGTTGTGCAGTTTTCAAAAATCATTGACTCCGTTCATAGTTATTTTTTTTTTTTAAAGGATT